ACAGCCTAGAGGTCTCCGTTTCTATCACAGGTGGCGGCGTGTATTTATAGTAGGGCTGTGTACCAGTTCTCCTAGATGCTTTTTAGCCAAAGCTTGATAAAGTATTTTGGCCACATCATTGTGCCTTTCAAGATATTGTTTAGGAGCTAAGGGAGAGCAGCCTGCTACAATATGATCTATGTGCTCATCTTTTTCCCCACATATGCGGCATCTGATATCGTCAACGTTCTCATGCATTATACGCTTTCGGTACAACTTTGTTGGGACTACCTGATCCTGGATGGAGGCTATGAAGCCCTCCGTCTCCAGGAACAGATTACCTGACTGCAACCATCCTTGGGAAGCCTTCGTGTCAATGGCGTTGTCTTCTATGCGGCTCCTATACCGACCATGTAGTGGTTTGGCTTTCCATTGGCGAACTAGATCCTGCATTGGGGTTATCTTTGCCTCAGGGTCGAAAGATTTTCTGAAAGGTTTAGTGGTGTCAACTTTTTATCCGTCTGTGTTATTGCTTGATGCATTCTGCTGGATGTGGCTTTTTGGAGGAAGTACTGGCGTAGATTGTCCACTTGGCGGTGATGTAGTGTAGGTATGCAAGGTATTCCTCTGCCACCCTCACTTCGTGGTAGATGGAACCGCTCTATGGAACTATGTGGGTGGTGTCCCCGGTGTTTACGGAATTCTTTTCTGGTTTCCACATTAAGTGCGTTCAGTTCTGTATCCGTCCAGTTCAGTATGCCAAACGTATAGGTAAGGACCGAAGTAGCGTAGGTGCTGACAGCAAGTGCTGTATTACGAGCTGACAGACTTGTTTCAGCACCGCCCTCAAACGTGTTCTATAGTGCTCCATTGCCTTTTCTTTTGCAGCTTTCTGGTCTATGCCCGGCGCTTGTAGATAGCCTAAGTATTTATACTGTTCATCTTGCTGCATTCCTTCAATTTTCCCTTGCACTTGGTTCGGCTCATATCCTGAATGTTTACTCCATTGGCCTTTTACCATGCAACTGATCTTGCACTTGTCTAAGCCAAACAGCATCTTGATGTCTGTGCTGAATTTACTTACACAGTCCAGAAGCTTATGAAGATCTTCTTTGGTTTCTGCAAAAAGTTTGAGGTCATCCATGTACCAAAGATGTGAAATGCGTGTTTCATTGCCACCTAACAGTATTCCTTTCTTTTGGCTATTTAGCATTGTTGTTAACGGTCTAAGCGCTAAGCAGAACCATAGCGGACTTAAAGAGTCTCCTTGAAATATTCCTCTCTTGATGGATACCTCTCCGGCACTAAATTGCGTATCTTGGGTGTTGAGATAGAGCCGTGTCTTCCAATTCGCCATAGCATGTGCCAGAAATTGTTTGATGTGGCACTCGATCCCATAAAGGTCAAGCACCTCTAACAACCAAGAGTGAGGTATACTGTCAAACGCTTTCTGATAATCGATGTATGCAATGTACAGGGGTATTTTTTTCTTTTTGGCATAATTAGTTATGACAGAGTCTATAACAAGTTGCTCTTTACAGCCTCGAGACCCTTTTCGGCAACCTTTTTGCTCTTCGTCTAGTATAGTATTCCGCTCTAGGTGTGAATATATCTTTTCAGTAATTATAGCAGTCAATACCTTGTAAATAGTCGGCAGACAGGTGATTGGTCGGTATTTTGCCGGATCGTTCGAGTGATCACTTTGGGATTAAATATGTTATTCCCATTGTTAAGAACTCTGGCAACATATCTGGTTGCTCTAAGATTGAGGTGTAACACTTTGCGAGTCGATCGTGAGCCGAAGTGAACGTTTTTAGCCAATAATTCTGTAGCTTATCTGATCCTGGGGCTTTCCAGTTTGGTAATTTTCGTAGAGTATTTACCACGTCATCTAAGCTTACTTTCCAGTCGAGCATGGTCCTAAAAGTTGAATTATTTGCTTTCTCTTGGCGGTACCATTTAGATGTGGAATGATTGATTGGATTGCTCCAAATTCCTGACCAGAAGGTATTGATGGCATCTGAGGTAGGAATCTGAACGTTGTTCTGATCTGTATCCCTCCGTCGCGCCTGCAAGTTCCTGTAAAAGCCTCGCTGATTGGTCTCGAATGCTCGATTTTGTTTCCGGCGTTCGTTGCTTTTCTTGTACCTTCGAAGTCGCAGTGCTGTAGCTGCTAGTTTTTGCTTCAGGTAGTCCAAGACTTCTACGGCTGTTGGGTTCTCCTCCGAGCAGTGACGGTTTATCACATTCTCTGCGGATCTCTTTACTCTCAGACTACATTCAGACCTGCGGTACTGGGTGAGTATTGCTATGTCCTTTCTAATCTCCTCTATATTACGCGATATCCTCATCTCCCAGGCTGGCAGTTTTCTGTTTTTCCTTACACATTGTTCGCCAACTCTCTGTTCATTTAATTTTAGGACTGTAAGTGCTCCAATGTACAACAGGCTATGGAGCTCAGTCAAGGTTGTATCTTCTGTAATCTCGTTATCTATTACTTTGTTAACTTCAGCGATATACTCAGATGTATGGGGTTTTATTATTAGCTTTGGTAGGCTTGGTTTAAGAGTTGGTTCCACACCATCATACTTCATGAACAAGCCCCTGAACTCATCTGCGTATTTAGATGGTTGGCCATCGTTTATCTCAATTTGTTCTTGGTTTTCTGTGTGCTCTTGCGGAGCTTGTACCTGCATTCCTAATTCTATGGATATCTCTTCTCTTATTTTGTTTATCTCCTCTGCCGGCAATCTGTTGTTTATGAATACGGATCGGCGCTGGTCTAGTACGTTTTGCACAGTTTTGCCTTGCAGGTGAGGGAAGTTCATGATAACTTGTCTGTGTAGTTCAGTACCATAGGGCTCTGTAGATGTTTCTAGTTTAGTTATTCTGTAGTAGGAGCGAACCACAAATCTGTTCATTTCAGTGGTCCACGCGGTTCTTTTTCTCCTCCTATTGTCTGGCATTATGGGCTGGGGCTCTTGGCTTCCAGCAACATGATTGCCATCTTCGACCCCAGGAAGCTGTTGGATGGGGTCATTCGAGTTACTTCTCACACTATCTGTGGGGGGCTTTCGCTGGATGACGACCGGGTGCGACCTTCCCCTACGCTCCCTGCCGGACGCGGACCTCGTCGCATAGCGTCGAGTCCCGATTACGTCGTTACATTCCGAGGCTTCATTTTGTTTTTTCTCCATTTCTGGGTAATTGTGTTCTCTTTTGATAGGTAGGTATAATTGTTTACCTAAAAGTGTTTAAACTCAGGCGTGGAAGAGAGACAAAAACCACGCCTGGATGAACAGGAGGTGTGCTGGCCGTACTGACTTTCCTTCGGTGTTAATAACAGTAGCTCAACCACTTGGTCGAGGCCAGACGTTATTATTATCATTATAATTATTATTATTATTATTATTATAATTATTATTATTATTATTATAATAATCATTATTATTATTAACATTATTATTATTATTATTACTATTATTATTATAATTATTATTATTATCATTATAATTATTATTATTATTATTATTATTGTTATTAGTATTATTATTATTATTATTTTTATTATTATAATTATAATTATTATTATTATTATCATTATTATTATGACTATTATTATAATTACTATTATTATTATTATTTTTATTATTATTATTATTATTATTATTATTATAATTACTATTATTATTATAATTACAATTATTATTATTATAATAATTGAAGGGTATGCCGGAACACGTTCTAACCGCCAAAAGTTTAGTTTTGAGAAAAACGAAAAAACGCTTTTCTATGTTTTACTCCGAAATTAAAAAAGAAAACAGACAGGCTATTTACTAATCGATATTTTAATATATTTGAGAAACACAACATCTTTTTATAAACCATGTTAAAACAAATTAAGAGCCTTAGAAAATAAATTCCCTAAAACAACGTTATATATACACGTCACTTACAACGTTTTACACGGAAACGAGTCGTTTACGACCTTGTTTTACGCTTAATGGGTCAAATTTTTTTTATTGTAATACAGTGAACCAACATAGTTGGTGCTACAAGAAACATAATACAAATGGATAACATTTTGATGGTTTTAAACAACTTTCAGGTTTTCGTAAAAACTAACATATTTTAAGGGGATATAGTCACACATATCCATCAGGTTTGCCTTTTTTTCCTTTTTGATCGAAAGTGCTTCATTATATGCCTCTTTAAGGTCTCTTATCGCTACTTCTTGTACTAATTTCTTGCGTGACTTCAACAAGTAAGTAAACCATGGTTGAAGTGTGTTGTGAGACTTTCGTACTCGTAAAGTATTCACATCATCTGCGGTCATTTGCAACCACATTACTTGGGTGATTTTACATGATGGATCTTTATATATAACATTTTCCGCTGCCTGAAAATCCTTAAAAAAGATTGATGCATGAAGATCACTTTAAATGGATTGGATACCTTCGACTTAGCGACAACATCAGCCCACTGTGAGGGAACAAATACTTTAGAGATTTTTTTTTTGTCGTTCTATGAGAGAAAAGTCTCTATCACACGGCAAAAAGCTATGCCCGCTCGTAAGAAATTTTTGTTCGACTTGCGTAAAGAACTTTTCTAAAACTAGAAGTCGCGGCATTGTCAGCATTTTCCAGTTATTGTTCTGGCCCACACACCTGTCTGACCATATAACTAGTTTTCTTTCTTCACCTGCTTTGAGACGACTATACTTGTTAGTAATATAGAATAGTAGTGCTGAAGCAATCTCTGTAGATCCCGATGTGCCATTGCTTCATGCCATAGTAACATTGTTGCGTTTTCCTCCCCCATATTATGAACAGCATAGTTATATGTTGAGAATTGCCTTTGATAGAATACAGATGAATGTGTTAAATTGGGACAAAAAAGCACTTGTTGCAGATCTGTGCACAACACAACATAATTTGGATTGAGTTTAGAGGTCTCGGTATCATCTTTCAATGTTTTATAACCCGCTTCAGCTTTTCTATGGTGGAACTCACTCTCGATTTCTATTTTTTTTTTTCATTAGCGTCATCAGTTGAACAAAGTTCCATAAACAGCTTGTCACAATACGAACATGTGTCAGATCTTGGTAGACCAAATCGCAGATTGAACTTGCTCTTGAAAATGTCGTGATAAACCCTAAAGGAAATATTATTTGCATCGGGGTATTTCTCCTTAAAAAGTCTGAACATTTTTGAGATATTTAGATCAGCTGGAAGGCATTGTTTGGCTGAAGTATTTCTGCTGTAATAATTTTCCTGTAGGGGAAACGATCGGATGTGATCGGAAATGAGACCTACGTCCATGTTTTTCAACTTTTTAGGACTATTGAGATGCTTTCCACGTTGATCTTGAAGGTTATTCATGTTCGCTTTAAGTTTACCAATAAGCCACTGTAATCTTCTAGGCGTAATTGAGAATATATAACAAACTGTTCCTCTACATACTTGAGTGCCATTAATACTGTACTTTACAGTGCAATGTCTACGAGATATATTTTCCTCAACTCTCCTACGTTTTGGTTCTTGGAGGGATATGATTTGCGACAGATATTGCGACTGACCATCATAATGAAGCTTCCTAAATTTCTGGAACAGACTCACATGTCTTCCAACGAGCAAATCGGCGTTACATCCTCTGGGGGTTTGAGGACATTTGCAGACACGTTCCTAAAAAAAAATGCACACATTGCACGATATCCCATACTGTCAGGATGGTCACAGGCCCAAGCCATAAGTGAAATTTCGGGACCACGCTGCATATTGTGTATTAAACACCTTACATAAAAAACGGTCAACATTTTTTGTACACTATGAAAAATTGGATAATAATGTGCATCGCCTGTGGACACTTTTAAGTGTTAATAATCTTACCTCTTCTGGCTGGCTTAACGCAGCCTTAGGTACGTTTCTCGATGAAATGTATGCTTCTCCTGCATCCCTCTGATGTTTTCTTACAGTCTGCTTCCAGGTGTCAATTTTTAGCTTTCGTTTTTTACCTCTGTTCATATGACTAATAATAGACTCTGATAAACTAACTTTCATCTTGCAGAAACCACGTGGGCTGTGGTAGTTTCGAAAACAACTTGCTGAGACCTGTCGGCGCGTGCACATACAACGTTGTTACGTGGATATCAAGATTCACTGAATCATTTAGACGTCTGGACACCGATTAAATTTGTGATTCTCAGCTTGAAAGAGGGGGAGGTTATGCGAATGGATACATAGATCCTTGTTTTATAGAAATCCCACTTTTGACCAAACTGTCGGTTAGAACGTTGTTCCGGCATACCCTTCAATTATTATTATTATTAACATTATTATTATTATTATTACAATTATTATTATAATTATTATAGTTATTCTTCTTATTATTATTATAATTACTATTATTATTATTATTATAATTATTATTATTATAATAATTATTATTATTTTTATTACTATTATTATAATTACTATTATTATTATTTTTATTATTATAATTATTATACTTATTATTATTTTTTTTTAAACCCACAGTGGCATCGACAGCTATGGTCATTAGCCACTTCCCTCCTGCCTCATGAGGTCATTAAGTTGAACCTAGCATCTCAGGGATAGATCTGAGAGTTGGATAATATATAGAACGCACACAATCACATACAGTATAAATAATTCATTGCATCATCCCATTTACTTAATTCAAGTATGGAGGTAAAACTGAGTGTTTACCATAGGTTAAATACTACAGCATTGAGTTTGTCCTGTTCCTAGTAAAATATTTGGTGTGCCAGACAGAATTCAGGTAAGTTGTGTTAATAATGCATTCTTATATAGGATTCATTGTTTTCTTGATACACATATACCCACATATACATATTTTTCGAGATATTTATGTTGGAGCTAATATTTTAAGATTTTTATATTGGAAGATTTTTTGTTTAGATTTTGTGTAGCATATTTGTCGATTTCATGAAGTTCAGTGAGTTGTTTATGTTTCTGTCGTTTGAAAAGCATTCTTTCAGGTTTCTTGGTATAAAACATTCTAGGCGCTTAGAGTTAAATTTTGGACATTCCAGGATGATGTGTTCTACGGTAAGAGTGCAGTGGCATTTATCGCATAGTATTGGGCTTCGCCCTAGGAGAAGATGTGATGAAGTTAGGTGAGTATGTCCAATCTTTATTCTTGTAAGACAAACTTGTTCTCGTCTAGTTAGGCCTGTCGGATATTTCCATTTCTCGATTGTAGGTTGTAGTATCCTCAAACGACTTATACTTTGGCTCCACTGATTTTGCCAACGTTGATGTATCTGGAGCTTGAAATGGGCTTTTAGGTCTTCAGGAAGTACGGTGCTGACGGGGGTTCCATTTTGGGTCGCGTCACGAGCTGCTGCATCTGCTAGTTCGTTGCCAGGAATATTTACATGCCCTGGAGTCCAAATAAATACGACTGTGTTCGAATTATGCGTTAGTTTATGGCACCGATTAATCACCTGTTGGACGAGGCGATTCTTAGCTTGTTGATTTCGTATAGATTGAAGGGCGGTCATTGAATCTGTACATATGAGGTATGTACTACACCGGGTTGTTTTGTCAAGCAAGTATTTAAGAGCTGCCGAGATGGCATACATTCGGCTGTATATACGGAAGTAATAGGATTTAGACTATACTTAAAGGTTTCTGTTAGGGTGATGAAAGCTGATCCTACGCCACTTTCATTTTTCGCTCCGTCTGTGTAGATGACTTCAGGTGTATTATATCTACTTATTATTTCATTGAATTTATGTAGATAAACATATCCCGATGTTATGTTTTTTGGATAAATAGCGCAGTCTAGTACAATATTCGTCCTGGTGTCGATCCATGGTGGAGTTTCACTTGGTTTCTTAGTGTATATGTCAGGGATAACAGCGCCAAGGTCGTTTATAATCTCTGATAGTCTGACTCCGAATGGTCTTGTAATAGTAGGTCGGTTGTCGTATTCTTCACTGCTATCATTGTTGAAAATGATATCGTGGTTTGGGTGAGAGGGTTGAGCCCATATGTTAATTCCATAGTTAAGCATTAACTGCGATATGCGTAAATCAAGTGGTGGAGTATTCGCATCGCAATATATCGAGCTGGATGGACTAGTGCGAAACGCACCTAAGCACAGTCTTAATCCTTCACGATGGATGACTTCTAGGGTACGTATATGCGATCTTCTGGCAGCGGCAAAAGCTACAATACCATATTCTATTTTTGACATTACCAGCGATTTGTATAGCGTCAGTAGGACATCTCTGTCCGCGCCCCATTTTATGCTGGAGACGCATTTTGTTACGTTAAGGGCTTTCTTGCATCTAACAGCTAATGACTCGATTTGTGGTTTCCACATCAGTTTACGATCAAAGAGGATCCGGTGAGTTTCTTTGACTTGGATTAAGTTTCCTTCCAAGGTTAATGCAGGTTCCCTATGTGCTGTTCTTAGCCGACAAAAATGGATTACTGTAGTTTTTGATCTAGAAAAGTTAAGACCATTTCTTTTAGCAGTTTCAACCAGGTTGTCGATGGTCTCTTGAAGTTTACTTTCCATCGTGACCATTTCTTTTGCCGAGTAATATATGGTTAAATCATCCACATACATACATTTTCCAATGGATTCATCGATGCACTGGAGTAAGTTGTTGGCAATTATTACAAACAAGATTACGCTGAGGGTGGAGCCCTGAGATATTCCGTTTTCTTGGAGGTACGTATGAGATACTTTGTCCCCCAGCCTTACCTTGAACGACCGGCTTGCAAGGAAGCTTGCAATGAATGTGGGCAATCGTCCCCGAATTCCCCATTTAAGGAGAGTTGATAGGACTCCATATCCCCAGGCGGTATCGTATGCCTTTTCTAGGTCAAAAGAGATAGCAATCAGATGGCTCCTGTTGGCAAAACTGTTCTGTATGGCTGTTTCCAAGTGGATAAGGTGGTTTATTAGCAGGTTTCGTGTCTCCAGTAACCACATTAATCTTCGACTTATCATTTTTCTAGGATTTTGCTCAGACAACAGGTCAGGGATATTGGTCTGTAGCTCTCAGGCTTTGTTGAATCTTTGTCTGCTTTAGGAATAGGTATCACTATTGATTCTCTCCACTGATCTGGGTAAGTACCAGTTTGCCATATTTTATTAAACATTTCTAATATTGCTTGTTTTTCTGTTACAGGTAGGTTGCGTATCATGCAATAGTGGACGGAGTCCGGGCCAGCGGAAGAGTCGTTAGTCTCTTGAAGAGCATTTTCGAATTCGGTAAGAGTGAAATTGTTGTTATATTCCGATATGTTAGATTCACTAAAGTCAAGTGCATTGCTTTCAATTTCTAGCTTCCTTTGATAGGCCCCAAGGCTTAGGTTTGTCGTTGGAACATATCTCTTCAAAGTGCATGCCTAGCGTGTTGGCTATCTCTGTAGCGCCCGTAACTTCTCTTCCTCCTACTCGTAACACTGGGGAAGGTGTGGCGAAGTGTTTGCCGGATATGGTTCTAATTTTCTTCCATACATCTGAGCTTGGGGTCTCTGAAGTGATGTCAGATACATATTTTTGCCAAGAATTTCTTTGGCCTGCTAACATCAATCTCCGTGCTCTAGCTCTGGCTTGTTTGACATTGTAGTTATGCTTTTGCCTTTAATGGCTTCTTCAATTTGTTGATCCCACCAGGGTACTATAGGTTTACCAGGTTGTATGTTTGCTTAGGGATGCTTTCGGAAGCAGCATTCAATATACTGTCAGTAACGTTGCTGACGGTTTCAGATATTGAATCAACCTATTCGCATTAGAGTCAAATGTTCTCGAAATTTCTCCCAATTTGCCTTTTTAAACTTCCACCTTTCTGCAAGTGGAACACTTGTATTTTGTACGGCACAGTTAAGTAGTATTGGGAGATGGTCAGATGAGTGATCATCTAAAACTTCCCAATCAAAGAGATATGATACACTTGGGGCTACAAAGTGCCCAAGTCTATCGCACTGTAGTTGCACGACCTAGAGTTAAGAAATGTTCCTTCGCCTTTATTCAGCATCATTAAATTTGCTTCGTTAATTATATCTTCCACTATCCTCCCTCTGGTGTCCAGTTTTTTGTGAGCCCCAAAGAGGGTTATGCGAGTTAAAATCTCCTACTAAGAGAAAGGGTTTGGGAAGCTGTTCACATATGCTTTTCAATTGATTATATTCCCAGTTTTGATTGGGTAGGTATATGTTGCATATGGTCAATTTATAGGTACTATTAGTTTGAACAGCAACAACCTGAAGCTCGGATGTGATGTTGACCTCTGTAAAGGGGATATTTACATCCAGAAATATTGCCACGCCGCCCTTGGCACGGATTTGCGGCGTATCATCCTTTCTTTACACATTGAACCCACGTAGCTGAAATTTCGTGGTTGGAGAGAAATGGGTCTCTTGAAGACAGAGACAAAAGGGCTTTTTCTCCTGCATGAGTAGTTTCAGTTCTGGATAGTGATTAACACACCCATTAATATTCACTGGACGATGGATTGCATGAGTAGAGTAGATTTATTTTATACATGCAAGGTTCAGGAGAAGATTAAGGATATTTACATATGTATATAGATGATGAGAGATAAATAAAACAAATAGGTGAGGGGACTAAATAAATAAATAAATATATATAAATAGACAAATAAATAAGTAAATAAATTAATGAATAAACAAGTAAATAAATTGAAAAGTACATTATAAGTTTATCAAAATATCACAGTTAATTTTATCACAGAAGTATCACAGTCTCCGACACTGCTCAGTTTCGGAGTTCTGTTGATTGGGACGCTCTGTATCATCACTCTGAACGGGTTGTTCCGACTGAAACAGTGCGGTTTTATTTGTTTTACGAGGTCTGCCTTTTTCCAGCCTCGTGTACCCTTTTTTGCTTCTGGATCGTCAGTCTGAGACGAGGTGAGACTTTCATCAGAAAGTTCCGATCCATCTACAGGAGATGTAGCTTTTCTTTTAGACGAGTTAGAAGCATCTGATTGACTTCTAGTTCTAGACGCAATCCCATGACTTATCTTTGGCAATGGAGCGACAAATTGCTGGGGTGTGCTGCTGCATACTGCTTTGTTTTCTATGGCTTGCGAGATCGACGTTCTGATTATAGCTGTTAGACGTGGTATAATCTTCTCTATTATTTCATCGTCTGGGCGCTTCTGAGATGCTTGTGCATATGATAAATTTGCTTGCGGGGTAGGGATTACTACCTTCCTTCTAGCTTCAGCATAACTCATTTTCTCGATAGTAATAACTTTCTGTATAGCTGATTCTGTCTTATACCTTGGACATAATTTGGAGTTTGCTGCGTGAGGACCATTGCAGTTCACACTTTATGGGCTGATCAAGATTTTCCAGTGTGTATTTTCTTACCGCAAATGCAGATTTGTTCCTCTTGGCATGATATCGAGGTATGGCCGTACCGTTGACATTTGAAACAGCGTACAGGGGTGGGATTATATGACGAACAGGTAGTTTGTACATCGCGCAACTAAGTCTCTGTGGTATGTTCGGAGAATTGAATGTAATTATGTGGCCTGGAGTGTCTTGTAGTTCATTATCCTTCTTTACTTTTATACGTTGTACCTTTATTACTCCTTCAGATTTTAGCTCATCCATAATTTCAGCTTCGGAACAGTTTAATAAATCCCTGCAGTAGATTACGCCTCTGCTAGAATTCAGAGAGGCATGTGGTTCAACGGTAACAGGAAAACTAGCAAAACTTTCTACCTTCAACAATCGATATGTTTGACCATCTGTTCTTGTTTCAACTAGCAGCCCAGCTTTAATTTTCTTCACAGAATTGGATTCTCCAATCAAGCCGCATAACGTCTTTGATATCAGAAATGGACTTACTTTCATGAAATTATCGCCATCTATTCTCTTTATTACCAGAAATCGGGGGGTAGGACCAGCCGACCCCTTGGTATATTACTGTGTCCAGTGATAGCTCTGCATGTAGCTCCACCTTCGCGTTTTTGCCTACATTTGAGGAGGTAGGCGCACCTTTTGTTTTTACTTTGTCTCCCATAGTATTGTGTTTGTCTTCACCTCCCCGGCTCCCCACCCTCCACGGAGCCTCAATGGGAGGTTATGCCCATAATCGCCTTCCGCTAGGACACAACCCCAGGGATACCGTTAAATCTAGGAAAAGGAGGTATAGTCCCCACAGGTAGCTCCACCATACATCGAGCATAGCGAACTATTCCCGTCTGGCTTCTACTACCTGTGGAGGCTCGCCCAACCAGCCCTCTGACGGGATGGCACAGCCGATTGACCGACGCTGGGCTAGGCGCGGCCGCCCTTCTAGACTGACCGCCGGACCAAAGTGGCGTGTTGCCCCCCTGACTGGTAGGGCTCAACCACCAGGATTCCATTGGCCAGCTTACGGGTCGCCGGCACGGCACAAACACCCGGGAGGCTAAGAGGAAGCCCCACGCGCCGCCTCAACGCATGGGGGAAGGAAACGACAAGGAAAGTCGGGAGGGCAGCGGACAGCTGCACAGGATATAATGAAAGGAGAAGGATGGAGAAAGGGGGAAGGAAAGCCCAGGGTTTGGCAGAATGAATAAGACTACCAAACCCCGAACTCCCTGCCTGGGGCCGTGGGGGCGACGCTCCCCATGTATCTTCCCTTGAAACCGGATCAAAGATCCAGCTTCAAAGTAGATACCCCCTGCGGGGGATTATTATTATTATTATAATTATTATTATTATTATTATTATTATAATTATATTTTATTATTACTTTATTATTATTATTATAATTTATTAATAATTGTAATTATTATTATTATTATTTTTGTAATTATTACTATTACAATTATTATTATTATAATTATTATTGTTATTATGTTATTATTATTATTATTATTATTATTACTATTATTATAATTATTATTATTATTATTATTATTATTATATTATTATTGTTATTTTATTATTATTATTATAATTATTGTTATTATTATTATTATTATAATTGTAATTATTAATATATAATTATTATAATATTGTAATTATTATTATTATTATAATTATTATAATAATGTAATTATTTTTGTTATCATTATATAATTATTATTACTATTATTCTTATTATTATTATTATTATTAATATTCTTATAATTATTGTAATTATTATTATCCACTAAAACCTCCTCTTTTTTTCTAGGCCGTGTTCCATCTACGGTACTACCTTGCGGCTTTATCCACCATAGATGGGGTCCCTTGTGCCGCCTTTATTGTGGCTTCAGCTACAATCGATTCTGCTTATACCATTTTAGCCATCTAGGGAAGTTGTGACAGTGTCCTATTCCCCTTCCATCTGTGTTTCTGTTTCATTATGTTAGTAATGAAAGACTCAATGAGATTCCAGTTTTTTATCTGATTTGAGCAATAGTGGAACCATGGTATTTGCTGCTATCGCTGAGTTAACAGTCTGCGCAAGAGTTCGTCTCTGCTGTGCCCATTTTTCGCATACGAAGAGCGTATGGTTTGCGTCATCCACAGAAGCTTCGCAGTATCTACACCCTTCGTCTTCGTGCAGTCTAAATCTTTTCATATAAGCGTTAAAGCAGCCGTGCCCCGATAACACTTGCGCCAAGTAAAAACCGACCTCTCCGTGGCTCCTCTCGACCCACTTTTTAATTTTGGGTATTAATTTGTACGTCCACCTGCCGACAGAGTCCTCGCGCCATCGCCTCTGCCAGTTCTCCATCAGTATCTTGCCTCATTCCGAATCGTCTCCTTGGAGTGTGCATCTTCCCGGATAGGTCGTGTTGCTTCCAACTCTTTTTTACGATTTTAGACATATTCCCTTTCCTGTGCTAAAAGATCTATAGGGGGAACTCCGCAAGGACTAAGACCGCATTTGTTGATACTGTCCTGTACGCTGATACGATCCTAAGTACCGCGCAGCGCTGTGAAGTCAAGAGCTTCGCCCGTAGTGTATGGTTAAGTGCTGAGGACCATACTGGTGCTGCATAGAGAAGCTTTGAGTGTACAACGCTTGCCAGCAGCTTTCGCTTAGATGCTCGTGGCCCTCCAATGTTCGGCATAAGTCTTGACAGGCTTGCGGCACATTTTATTGCACCTAGAGTAGCCCTTTGGATGTGTGCGCCAAACTTCAGTCTCCTGTCAAGCTCAACACCCAGGTATGTTATCTGCCTTTTCCACTCTAGGCGGTAGCCATCTATCTCGATAGCGGGATTTTGGTACGATCTCCTATCGGTAACGAGCAAAGCCTCAGTCTTGTCTAGTGCCATTGCAGGCCTCTGCACTCCATCCAACGCTTTGCTCTTGACAGACTATCATTTACTTTTATTCCTAGTACTTCTACACTGGCGGCAGCGGAGACAATAATTGCATCGTCAGCGAAGCCAACAATAGATGTGTCTTCTGGGAGCTGCTGGCAAGCAGCTTTCGCTTAGATGCTCGTGCCCTCCAATGTTCGGCATAATTATTATTATAACTATTATTATTATTATTATTATAGATATTTTATTATTATGATTATTATTATTATAATTTATTATAACTATCTATTATTATAATTATTATTATTATTAATATTATTATTTATTATATTATTATTATTATTATCATTCTTATTATTATTATTATTATTATTATTATTATTATTATTATTATTATTATTATTATTATTATTATTATTTCATCTTTTTTTTTTCACGCTACAGGACCGTTGTCTATTAGTAGCGGTATCTTATATGGAACGGTTTGACCTCTACACCGGGTCCTCGCCGAGGACTGTTTCTAGACGTGAGTTGAGTTTGCAGAATTTTACGTACTCTCGTTATATACTCATGTCTAATATCAACTTTCAGTGATCGTGGGTGATGTGTGGGCCTTCTTTAATTCCCAGGTACTTGTACACTCCGCCATGTTCTAGTGATTTGATCGTCTGTCCTTCATCAACTATTATATAGCAGAGTCATAATGCATTCCTCTCCTGAATGTGACTACAGCGCACTTATCGAGACCGAAGCTCATCTGTATGTCGTCGCTAAATTTTTTTACAATATTGAGAGACGTTTTCAGTTTGTTTTGGCTGGGAGATATGAGCTTCAGGTCATCCATATATAGCAAATGGGAGAGACAATCATTTGCTCCTTTAAGTTGGTAACCTAGGTTGGCCTCGTTGAGCAGCGTACTTAAAGGAACCATCGCAATCACAAACAGAAGAGGTGACAAGGTATCACCTTGATATATACCTCTTTTTATCTGTATGGGTCCTAACTCTATTTCTTCCCCATTATTACTGACTAACAGGGTAGTACTCCATAGCGAAATCAATCGCTTACATAGATCAATGATCTTCTCAGATGTTCCTATAAGCTTCAGAGATTTCAGGAGCCAGCTGTGCGGGACGCGCTGTCGAATGCCTTTCTATAATCAATCCATCCAATGCTAAGATTTTTTTGTTCTCTTTACAATCTTCTACAATGGCTTTCGAGAGGAGTAGCTGATCCTTGCAACCAAAAGAGCCCTTGCCACAGCCTTTTTGTTCAGTTGGTATTTCTTATTATCATTTACATAATCAGATATTCTGCTGGCTACTACTTTAGTTAACAATTTGTACAAGGTGTTCAGACAGGTGATAGGCCTGTAATTTTTGGGGTCCCTACTATCTCCAGACTTTGGAAGAAGGTATGTTTTACCCTTTGGCAGCCAGTTCGGGATATCTGTTCCGTTATCGAAGTAACTTTATATATATCATTGTTATTGTTTCGTGTGTAAACACTAGATGTTTCAGCCAGAAATTAGGTATCTGGTCTATACCAGGGGCTTTCCAATTTTGGGCCTGCTGCAGTGCTGATCTGACTTCCACGACACTGATATTTTGCCAGCTCATAGTTGTGGCTCTATCCCTTTCTACCTTTTTCAGCCACTTTGCGTTCTCGTTGTGGTTAAGACTTTTCTCGAAATACTTTTCCAATACGTTTCAGTTGTAGAGATGGCTGGAGCTTCAATGGGTTCCCTTTTTCCTTCTCGCAGCTCCTTATAAAATGCTTTGGGATTGACATTAAAGAGACTATTTGCTTGTGCTGCTCTTGTCGATTCTTGTACTTTCTGAGTCTTGAGCAGTGGCCGAGATTTGTTGTTTCATTACCTCTATCTTCTCTATTAGCGTTTTTCCTTCTGTGACGTATTTTTTAACAGCATCTTCCCTTTAGCCGCCTCTGCGGACAGCCTGCCATTTTGTATGTGAACTAAATTCGATAAGTCTCTCCTGAGGCTCAAAACTTTATTACTTAGCCGCCTCTGCCAGTTAGGTGTTTGCTTTGGGGTCCCAGCTATTCTTTTTCGCGCTGTCGGTTTTACTAATTTTGATGTAATCACATATGCTGTAGCATAAATGAGGCAATCTATCTTTATTAGGTCTTTCTGTCCCATTGTTTGCAATATGTTGCTAACTATGCAGTTGCCTTCCTCGATGAGTCACTTTGCTCTTTTACTATATATTCTGGGCAGACAGTCACGTTCAGATCCTTTTTTCAATCAGGCTTAGATATTTGTCCTTTATTTCTTTGTGCATGTCAGATTCTTCAACATGTTCTTCCGGTACCTGTGCGACATCGTGATGGTCTACTGTCTTATTATTATTATTATTATTTTGATTATAATTATTATTATTATTGTTATTATTATTATTATTATAATTATTGTAATTATTTATTATTATTATTATAATTATCATTATTATAATTATATTAAAGTTATTGTAATTATTACTATTATAATTATTATTATTATTATAATTCTTATTATTATTATTATTACTATATTTATTATTATTATTATATTATTATTATTATTTATTATTATTATTATTATTTTTTATATTGTAATTATTATTATTATTATTATTATATTATTCTTATTATTATAATAATTATTATAATTATTATTATTATTATTTTGATTATTATCATAATTATGATTATTATTATTAATATAATTATTGTAATTATTACTATTATTCGTTAGACACCGCATTCGTTCTTCATGTCTGCGATACTCCAAACAGATGTGAGATGTGCTATAGCTATAGCTATACGTATAATAGTATTATTATTATTATTGTAATTATTATTATTATTATTATTATTATAATAATTATTATAATTATTATATTATTATTTTGATTATTATATAATTATGATTATTATTATTAATATAATTATTGTAATTATTACTATTATTCGTTAGACACCGCATTCGTTCTTCATGTCTGCGATACTCCAAACAGATGTGAGATGTGCTATAGCACAACTAAGAAACTCGCCCTCACTCGACTTCTATGGTATGAACAGTGCTATGTTGAAAATAGCCAGTGAGGATTTCATTGAACCTTAAAAACACTATTTAATAAGTGTGTTAATGAAGGCGTGTGGCCTGGTGCTTTTAAATTGTCAAGGTCATTCCCATTCGTAAGAAAGGGAATGAAGATAATCTGGATAACTATAGGCCCATCACAATAATTCCATTAATAAGTAAATTATTCGAAATTGTAATCAAAGAAAAATTAATAAAGTACTTTGAAAGCACTCCCTCCTTTCAGCTTCCCAATTTGGTTTTCGGAAGCACTGTTCAACCATTAAAGCCATGCTTAGTTTTCTTGAGGATGCATTAGAGTGCATTGACAAGAGAACCACCGCTCTAGCAACTATGTGTGACTTAACCAAGGCTTTTGACTGTGTAGACGCAGTTATACTGCATGAAAATTGGAGTACTATGGGATCCGTGCCAAGTCATCACAGTTATGAGATCTATACTTAGTTAATAGGAGACAGATGGTTAGCCTTGATGGAGTAGAATCCCAGGTTCTACCGATTACGAACGGGGTACCCCAGTGCTCTGTCTTGGGCCCTCTATTATTTTTAATCTACATCAATGACCTCCACAAAATGTCAACAATAGCAAATGCTACCTTTTTGCAGACGACACTACTCTGCTCTCCAAGGCTACCCAACTTGACGAGGCCCACAGTCTCGACCAGGTTAAGCGGTGGTTCTCCGCAAACAAGCTCAAAACTTAATGAAGCGAAAACCAGTAAGCTAAGAATAACTTCCGACAAATGGAATGAGACTTCATCATCCGTAAAGTTATTAGGGATCGTTGTGGATAGCCGCTTGACCTGGTCGGAGCATGTGGACCAGGTGTGTACCAAGATTTGTAACCAAACGTGTAGGTAAGGACCGAAGTAGCGTAGGTGCTGACAGCAAGTGCTGTATTACGAGCTGACAAACTTGTTTTCGCACTGCCCTCAAACGTGTTCTATAGTGCTCCATTGCCTTTTCTTTTGCAGCTTTCTGGTCTATGCCCGGCGCTTGTAGATAGCCCAAGTATTTATACTGTTCATCTTGCTGCATTCCTTCAATTTTCCCTTGCACTTCGGCTCATATCCTGAATGTTTACTCCATTGGCCTTTTACCATGCAACTGATCCTGCACTTGTCTAAGCCAAACAGCATCTTGATGTCAGTGCTGAATTTACTTACACAGTCCAGAAGCTTATGAAGATGTTCTTTGGTTTCTGCAAAAAGTTTGAGGTCATCCATGTACCAAAGATGTGAAATGCGTGTTTCATTGCCACCTAACAGTATTCCTTTCTTTTAGCTATTTAGCATGTTGTTAACGGTCTAAGCGCTAAGCAGAACCATAGCGGACTTAAGAGTCTCCTTGAAATATTCCTCTCTTGATGTATACCTCTCCGGCACTAAATTGCGTATCTTGGGTGTTGAGATAGAGCCGTGTCTTCCAATTCGCCATAGCATGTGCCAGAAATTGTTGATGTGGCACTCGATCCCATAAAGGTCAAGCACCTCTAACAGCCAAGAGTGAGGTTACTGTCAAACGCTTTCTGATAATCGATGTATGCAATGTACAGGGGTATTTTTTTCTTTTTGGCATAATTAGTTATGACAGAGTCTATAACAAGTTGCTCTTTACAGCCTCGAGACCCTTTTCGGCAACCTTTTGCTCTTCGTCTAGTATAGTATTCCGCTCTAGGTGTGAATATATCTTTTCAGTAATTATAGCAGTCAATACCTTGTAAATAGTCGGCAGACAGGTGATTGGTCGGTATTTTGCCGGATCGTTCGAGTGATCGCCGCACTTTGGGATTAAATTGTTATTCCCATTGTTAAGAACTCTGGCAACATATCTGGTTGCTCTAAGATTGAGGTGTAACACTTTGCGAGTCGATCGTGAGCCGAAGTGAACGTTTTTAGCCAATAATTCTGAAGCTTATCTGATCCTGGGGCTTTCCAGTTTGGTAATTTTCGTAGAGTATTTACACGTCATCTAAGCTTACTTTCCAGTCGAGCAAGGTCCTAAAAG